AGGGCTGGATGAACACAGCAGGCCAAGCAGCATCATAGGAGCAGAGAAGCTGACGTTTCGGGCCTAGACCCTTCATCAGAAAAGGGGGAGGGGAAGGGGGTTTTGAAATAAATAGGGAGAGAGTGGGAGGCGGATAGAAGAGGGATAGAGGAGAGGATAGGTGGAAAGGAAACAAACAGGTCGAAGAGGCGGGGATGGAGCCAGGAAAGGTGAGTGTAGGTAGGGAGTTAGGAAGGGGATAGGTCAGTCCAGGGAGGACGGACAGGTCAAGGGGGCGGGATGAGGTTGGTCGGTAGGAGATGGAGGTGCGGCTTGAGGTGGGAGGAGGGGATAGGTGGGAGGAAGAACAGGTTAGGGAGGCAGGGACGAGCTGAACTGGTTTTGGGATGCGGTAGGGGGAGGGGAGATTTTGAAACTTGTGAAATCCACATTGATACCATTGGGCTGCAGGGTTCCCAAGGAGAATATGAGTTGCTGTTCCTGCAACCTTCGGGTGGCATCGTTGTGGCACTGCAGGAGGCCCAGGATGGACATGCCGTCTGAGGAATGGGAGGGGGAGTTGAAATGGTTCGCGACTGGGAGGTGCAGTTGTTTGTTGCGAACCGAGCGTAAGTGTTCTGCAAAGCGGTCCCCGAGTCTCCGCTTGGTTTCCCCGATGTAGAGGAAGCCACACCGGGTACAGCGGATGCAGTATACCACATTGGCAGATGTGCAGGTGAACATCTGCTTGATGTGGAAAGTCTTCTTGGGGCCTGGGATGGGGGTGAGGGAGGAGGTATGGGGGCAGGTGTAGCACTTCCTGCGGTTGCAGGGAAAAGTGCCGGGTGTGGTGGAGCTGGAGGGGAGTGTGGAGCGGACAAGGGAGTCACGGAGAGAGTTGTCCCTCCGGAAAGCAGATAAGGGTGGGGAGGGAAAGATGTCTTTGGTGGTGGGGTCGGATTGCAGATGGCGGAAGTGTCGGAGGATGATGCGTTGGATCCGGAGGTTGGTGGGGTGGTACGTGAGGACGAGGGGGATTCTTTTTTGGTTTTTGTTGCGTGGACGGGGTGTGAGGGATGAGGTGCGGGAGATGTGGGAGACACGGTTGAGGGCGTTCTCGACCACCGAGGAGGGGAAGTTACGGTCGTTGAAAAACGAGGACAACTGAGATGTACGGGAGTACTAACTTGCATGAGTCTTTTTATAAAACAGGTTCTGATCCAGGTGGATTGGAGGAGCACAAATTGGTAAGCAAAACAGCTTGTGAACTATGGGTTGCCTTCACAGTGGAGATGGTTTTGGGAAGAGTGAACACAGTGCAAAGGTGGGAGGTGATACAGGAAGGGAAGAATACCCAAAAGTAAAGTTCCTGGGTGACTAAAGCTATAGAACTTAAAATGAGATGAAAAATTTAACAATAATTGTGAAGGTGATGAAGCAATATATAAATAATCCAACTAAGGAAGGAGTCATACTAGACCTCGTGTTGGGAAATGAGCCAGGTCAGGTGATCAAGGTTTCAGTAGGGAAGCATTTCAGGAACAGTGACCATAACTCTAAGTTTTAAGTTACCTATGGATAAGGATAAGAGTAGTCCTTCGGTAAAAATACTACACTTAGAGAAGCATGGCTAGCCACAATATTAGTGGCAAGAATTGGAAATGTTGACTGGGGCAGTTGTTTGAGGGTAAATCCATGTCTGACGTGATTTTTTTTTTCTTTTAAAAAGGCCAGTTGATTAGAGTTCAAGAACGCCATATTCCTGTGAAAATGAAGAATAAGGATGGCATGATTCAGGAACCTTGAATGACGAGAAATTGAGAGTTTAGTTGCACAGAAAAAGCAGGTGTATGTAAGGCTTAAGGATCTGAAGACTACAATAAGAATATAAAGAAAGTAGGAAAGAATTTAAAACAAGGAATTAGGAGGGCTGAAAGGGCCCATGAAATATCTTTGGCAAGCAGGATTAAGGAAAATCCCAAGGCTTTTGAGATCTGTATAAGCAGCAAGAGGATAGCTAGGGAGGGTAGGTCAACTCAAAGATGAAAGAAATTGGAGCTGCAGTAGGCCATTTGGTCCCAGATGTTCCTTACCCTATGGGAAAAGAATTTCTTTGACATCTCAATTTTAATTGAGTGCCCTTTATTCTTTAGCTGTGTTTTCCACTTCGAGTCCCCCCCCTCCGCCCCGATCATGGAAACATAATCTTAACATCTACTCTGGCGAGCCCCCTGAAAATCTTGTATGTTTCAATTAAATAACCCCTGGTTCTTCTAAACTCTAATAAATAAATGCCTGAACTTGTTTAGCCATTCTTGATAAGATATCACTTCCTTCACGCTAGGAGTCTGCCTAGTGAATCTCTTTTGAACTGCTTCTTATGCTAGTGTATCCTTTTTGTTTTTAAAGGAGATCAAAACTGTATGCAATATTCCAGGTACAGCCTCACCAACATCCTGTACAGCTGTAACAAGAATTCCCTATTTTTAAACTCCAACATCTTGAGCAATAAAATCCAAAATTCCATTTTCTGCCTACAAAGGCTAACTTCTTTGTTTCATGCACAAGTACACCCAGATCCCTCTGCACTGCACTTTCTGGAAGTCTGTATTTTTAAATAATAGTCTACTTTTTGCTTCTTCCTGTGAAAGTGCATGAACTCACTTTCCTACATTAAACTCCATCTGCCAAGATTTTGCCCTGTCCCTCAATCTAATCATAACCTCTTGTAGATACCTTTATGCCCATGTCACAACATACCCTCCCCCTATTTTGGCATCAACAACAAATCTGTCCCTTTTTCCTAGTCATTAATATAGATAAGTAAATAATTAAGGCCCTTAGACTGATCCTTGTGACACACTAATTACATCTGTGCAATCTGAAAAAGCCCAATTAATCACAATTCTACCTTCTGTGTGTTAATTAATTCTCAATTCATGCTAATAAATTATCCCCAAAACTGAGCTGCTATTGTGTGCAATAATTTTTAATGTCGTACTTTATTGAATGCTTTTTGAAAATCCAAATACCTGCCACGTACTAATTCCTCTTTATCAACTCTGCATGTTATATCCTCAAAGAACTCTGGCAAATTTGTCAAACATAGTTTTGTGAAAGGGAAACCATGTTTTTGACAGTGGTAAGCTTTTCTGAATGTCCAGGTATGTCTTCCTTATGAATTCTAGCATCAGCAACAGATTTAGGCTAACAGGTTTCCTGTTTTCTGTCTGTCTCCCTTCTTGAACAGGGCCATTACATTGGAAAACTGCTGATCTGCTACAGGCCCCGTGGAATCCAGTAAATGCTGGAATATTTCAACCAATGCTTCCACTATCTCTGCAGCCACTTCCTTTTAAATGCATGGCTCAAAGATGCAGATCATCCGGTCCTAGTGACATGTTTGCCTTTCGTCCTATTAGTTTATCAAAAACTTTTTCCCTCGTGATAAAGACTTAAGATCTTTCCTCCCCTTAGCACCTTTCTTATCTATTATAGAGTCATAGAGCCAGACAACATGGAAACAGACCCTTTGGTCCAACCGGTCCATGTGGAACATAATCCCAAACTAAGTAGTCTAACCTGCCTGCTCCTAGTCCATATCCTTCTAAACCTTTGCTATTGATGTGCTTATCTTAGTGTCTTTTAAGCATTGTAACTGTGCCCACATCCACCACTTCCTGAGGAAGTTCATTCCACACACAAACCACCCTCTGTGTTTTTTAAAAAAAATAAAAATTTGCCCCTTTTTTAATCTTTCCCCTCGCACCTTAATGTGCTTCCTATTCTTGAAACCCACATCATAGAGAAAAGACACCATTAACTCTATCTACACCCCTCATGATTTTATAAACCTTTAATAAAAAAAGTTACCTCTCAACCTCCTGGATTCCAGTGCGGAAAGTCTCAGCTTATCCAGCCTTTTATAACTCGAGCCTTCCATACCTAGCAACATCCTGGTAAATTTCTTTTGACCCCTCACTAGCTGAATAATATCCTTCCTATAGCAGTGTGACCAGAACTGGACACAGTACTCCAGACGAGGCCTCACCAATGTCTTGTACGACCTCAACATGACTTCCCAACTACTATATTCAAAGGTCTGAGCAACAAAGGCTAGTATGTTAAACACCTTTTTGACCATCTTTGGGATGCTTATAGCTTCTTCCAATGTGAAAACTGATGCAAAATATTGGTTTGCTATTTGTCATTTCCCTGTTCCCCATTTGCATCCTTCAAGCGCCCCACACTTGCTTGAGTAAGTGTTCCTATTTTTTAAAATCGGTAGAAGCTCTTGCAATTTGTTTTTGCCAAATTACTTTCATAATTAATTTCTCCCTCTGTCGGCTTTTTTTGGTCATCCACTACTGGTTCGTTGGGAACTTTTTTCCAGAAAAAAAAATCCTCTTACCAACCACTAGTTTTCACTGCATTATGTGCTTTTGTTTATGATTGGATATTCTTTTGTTAACAATAGGAGGTTCATCCTTCTCACTGAATTCCCCTTTTTTGACTGAAATCAAGTTTTACTGAACATTATGAAGTATTTGCTAACGTGTCTGCCACTGCTCATCCACATACTTTCCTCTTGCACTTTTATCCCAGGCTTCTTT